TTAAGAATTCTTAGGGTTACGAACGTTTCGAGAATAAGGGCCCTGTTCCTCAAAGCGATCGTAGCGCTACGACTATCGTAAGTCTATGTTAACGTATGGGAGTTACGATCTTAGGGTTACGATCACTTTGAGGAATGGGGCCCAGTGCCTTAGCAGGTCTGCAATCAAACGTGTAATACTATTGATGCAATGTTTGATTTAGATTGATGCATGTACATTTTGACCGGGAGTCATGATCATGAACGGTGGGAGGAGAAGGAAGCTGCAGATAGCAGCATCTCCTCAATGTTGGCAGTGGTAGTTTGCATAAACATGAATATAATCGCTGCCACAAGTTGACACACATCAACCAAGCCTTGTCCGAGAGATCTTAGCACTCAAAAGGCTGGGTTTCTGAGGACCTGCACTGCCCTAAGAGTTTCTATGGGGAGACAAGCCAGAGTGAACTGGGACCTTTTTAGCCCTGCAAGTCCCTTTGGAGATGCAAGCCTGGGTTACTACTGACCTTTTCAGACCAGTGAGTACTTTTGGAGAATGAGTATGGTTTTATGCCGCTGTTAGTAATATTCCTGCATCATCACGGCGAGAGACACCAGAAATAGGCTTCAGACATTCTGGGGCATCAAACCTGTGTTGTAGGTGTGGCGAGCGAACACTTTAACCACTAGGCTACCCCAAGACCCCTATACCTAATACACAGATACAATACACATCTCCACAGTAATGACACATAAAATACAACAACTTATCACGCATCAAAGTGAGTCGTATTCCCTATCACCTTCTAAATCACCTTAACTTAACTTCAGAAACATTGGCTTAAAAACTGAATGAAAAAGTACATTTCTTCTGAATCATGCTGAGGATCATGAACACAAGAACAAAGAAAATAATTATTTATGGGTTACCATGACAACGAAGACATGGAAAATATCAGTAAATATCATTTGACACAGGATTACTCTCATTCCTTAAAACGGAATAGCAACATAATCATTTCAATGATTTCTTTTTTTCATAGTAGTACACAGTATATCATGTTTCAATAATCAACATTCGAAACAAAGAGCACAGATTTTAACATTGACACCACACAAACACTGAACAGTTTTGATTATGTAAGTTTGTTGAAATCCGTATCTCCACATCTGCTGAGAAGAATCTGGGGAAGTATATCAGAGAAAGACCTATTTCAGGATTACTTATCCACTTAACTTCAATTTTTATATAAACTTTAAAACCTGAAAATAATTAAGCCTAACAAACTATAGATTTCCAACAGAATGGCAATTTTGAAAGTCATATTCTTGGGTTTTTTCCAAAAGAAATTTCCTTTTGTCTACAAAGCATGAACTCAAACTGAAACACAAGAACCAACCTGATTATGCAATGACATATTGGATAACTATCCATGACAATTGTTATTTACCCTTTAAGTTGATGCAGTATGGGCTGGAGATGACAATTTCTTGTATTGTTGGAGCAAATCCATTTCTTTGAAAAATATCTCATACTGTTGGTGCCATTAATTTCTTTCATCTTTATTCTCACATTGTTGGTACCATGCACTTCTTGAGAATTTGTCTTGTATTGTTGGTGCCATCCATGTCTTTGAGAAGTATTCTTGTATTGTTGGTGCCATTAATTTCTTTCACCTTTATTCTCACATTGTTGGTACATGCACTTCTTGAGAATTTGTCTTGTATTGTTGGTGCCATCCATGTCTTTGAGAATTATTCTTGTACTGTTGGTGCCATTAATTTCTTTCACCTTATTCTCATATTGTTGGTACCATGCACTTCTTGAAAATCTGTCTCATCTTGTTGGTGCCATCCATGTCTTTGAGAATTAGTCTTGTATAATATTTATTGGTGCCACCTATTTCTTGGACCATTATTCTCATATTGCTGATACCATGCTCTTCTTGAGAATTTGTCTTGTATTGTTGGTGCCATCCACTGCTTTGAGAATAAGTCTTGTATTCATGGTGCCATGTACTTCCTTGACAACAGGCTTCTTGTTCTTCATTTCTTTGAAAATTTGTCTTGTAATCTTGGCACCAAGTATTCCTTGGACAACTAGTCTCATATCTGTGACTCTACATAGTTTTTAGTTTCAGTGTTAGTTTAACTGATAAAAATCTGTTCAGCACGAATACAAAACAGATGGACAGACAAAGACACATTCCTTAACAAAAACACTCAAAATACATATTTGACAGTTATTAATTATGTAGTATAACAAAGAAATATAAATAAGTTAAAAGTTAAACCTTTCATGCCAGAGTACAAGATATATATGCTCTACTCACACAATGTTCATGATAATGAACAGACAATATGATATAGTATTGGAAACTTATCTAAGTATCTCTTAATACTTGACAATCTGAAGTAGGTTTTCCATTGGAGCATAACACAATGAAGAAACGAGAAATATATACAATAATCAATCCCAGGAATAATCAGTCATATTCCTTGTCATATTGTATATACAATATTGAAAATAAAATAATTCTGGGAAAAGCAATCATAGGAGCATTTTCATTCTCTGGAGAATGTCGTCTAGGAAATAAATAAAAACAAATATATGATTCAATAAAAATGTACATTCCCAACCTGACCTATCATTTGCATTTGTGAAAGCTCAGATTGCTAGCCGTTGTATAGAGTCTAAGATCTGACCTGGTATAAGTGAGCTTGCATGAAATTGACCTGACATAAGTTATGTTTGTATGAAATTGACCTGACACAAGAGATGGTGGTATGAAATTGATCTGACATATGAATCACTACAAAATTGCCCTGACACTGTGAGTTGAATTGAATTTGAAATGACGTGTGTGAATGACACTGAAATGACACACAAAACTGCCTGAAATTGACATGACACAAGATATGTCTGTGTTGAGATGACAAATGGAATTGAACAAATGGCCTGATGTTCAGAATCACTGCAACATATGTACAGTATAATTTCCTTTTCGCTTTTAATTCCAAAGTACGAATATTTAATTCTCGAACAGGAAAATGAAGTTGCCAGTTGACTTCTACAAAATTTGACCTGTCTCTTCACTGACAGTGGGAGAATGAAACTTAATATACAGTTAAACTTGCAGGGATACATGTATCTAGTATTCCATAAAAGTGTGCAAAACAACACTGAATTATAAACTTGTCCAAAACATTGATTTTCTGTTTCTCAAATGTTTTCGGCTCCCAAACAAGCATCTGGCTCTGTCCTTCACCTTGCAGCCATCATGCAGGACTGGCCATACTGCACAAATCCAGTTAGGGTACAAGTAGCGAGACTTTTTAAACCTTGAACACCAGAATGCATTCTCCCCAACATGATTAACATCTCTTGAGCCTCCTCTTGGAACACACTGTTAGCAAGGTTCCAAGAAATTAGGTACAAACAAATATCAATTAGTTGTGGCATCAGCTTCCTGTACATCCTCGATAATCTCCAGGGTATACGTTACAATCACTCTCCACTATACCCTGGATGCATCCACGGCTTGGCCAGATGATTTTATTACCTCCCTTGGGTGGCTTTTTATCCAATCAGGCGTCTACGCTAGGAAGTTGAGCGAACCTATCACAACTCACTTTCACTTCTTAAATTATCTAACCGTTTAAACTTGGCAACACAATTGATGCAGAGGGTACTCTGAAAGATGTGGAAGGAGTTCTTTTATATATTTTTGAAAGTTTCAGATCTGTCATTTTGTCTGTATTATTTCTCAATAAATCTGAGTGGCACTGCAAACAAACCTTCGCGACTGCGACCGCTATCTTTGTTGACACTGGCAAGCTCGGATGTAACGGCGGCTTAGCTGATTGGCTACTGTAAGAATGCAGAGCCAGCAAAGGGAGGTAATATAATCATCTGGCCAAGCCGTGGATGCATCCAGGGTGTAGTGGAGAGTGATCGCAATGTATACCCTGGAGATTATCGAGGATGCTTCCTGTAATGAAAATCCAAATTGACAATTGAACAACTCGTAGTGATCAATAGGCTCATGGTTGTAAAATCATTCAATCCATTATCACAACACAATTGATTATCTTCACTTGACCAGCATTTTTAGCATCAAATATATTTTCTTTCAAAAACATTTCTTCCGACTGTAACACTGTACACGATTCAGGTAAAATGGACAGTGCATTAACATTTCTCTACTCATGCATAGATGATTCACAGCTCACAAATGACATCCCATTCTCGATGAACGATTTAGTCACAATGTACAAATTTAAATTTAAATTTCCTTAGTTAGTTATACAAACTTGAACTTTCCACACTTGTTCAGAAATTAACCATCACAACTCAATGTACAATACACAAGGTTTCACTACACACTCTTTACAAAGTACCAGAAGTAGCTAAATATCCACAGCTGGGGCCAGTCTATCTAGAACAGTAGCACTGGGGACAACATCTAACTGTGGTATCCCCTGATCTCTTTGCATCTACACATATTGTGACCAGGCTTAAAACACAAGAACCTTACAAACCCAGGAGAGAAGAGACTGAATACAGGACTGAGTGTTGCTGTAGGACTCCATATAAACACTGCATGAGAAAAAATCTTTAAAAAATAGTATAACTATCATCGCTAACAATATATATATATATAACGCAAAAAACAAGGATAAAGAGCGGGAATGATTTTGTGCCATATCTAGCAACATACCTACAATAACGCGAAATAGGCTTGTCATATTTTACCCATGTGGGGAATCGAACCAAGAACTATGTCATAAACAACACCACCTTGAAATCTCGACCACCCAACTTCCTGGTAGGTGATTATTTAACCTGTGTTAAACTGACTGCCTGAGTTTGGTTTTACGCCGCTTTTAGCAATATTCCAGCAACATCACGGCGGGGGACACCAGAAATGGGCTTCACACATTGTGCCCATGTGGGGATTCGAACCCGGGTCTTCGCGTGACGAGCCAACGCTTTAACCACTAGGCTACCCCACCGCCTGGGGTTGTAACTCTGTAGAATATAAAACTTTTACATTTTTTGTTTCCAAAAATAAGGTCAGAATTGAACATTAGTATAATGATGGGTTTTGATTCCCTTACCAAAATTTACAAACTTCTCATTTCAAAACAGCCAACTAAAATACTACTTTCTTGAAAATATACTCATAATGCTACAGGCCAAACTAGAAGATGCTTCACAACAGATATAAAATTTCTTTACTGGGCTCACAGTAGACAATAACAACTAAATATAGATACATGTATGTAAGTTATTTACAATCAACAGAATATTTACAAAGCACATTGCACCATATCGTCCTACCACAACTCAACCACTCCTATATCCAACCCTTCTCCCCTTGTATAAGCAGTATATATGAATATCAACAAATGGGATAACTCTGTGAGCAGCATCTCATGTGAACTGTCACATGGTCTTCAATGAGGCTTCTGATTGGATGAGGTGATGTGATGTCATGGCAACGCGACTACAGAAGCTTGTCCCAGTTGAAGTCGTCGTCGATGTCGTCCGAATGGTGATATGGTGTTCCGGACGGCAGTGAAACTACGGTCTGACAAGATGAGTAGCTCTCAGAAGCATTCTGGAACAATGAGTTTATTAATGTGATTGTTATCATTGTTATTATAATATTGTTATAGTTGAATGAGTGAGTTGGGTTTTTCACCACTTTTAGCAATATTCCAGCAACATCACGGTGGAAGACACCAGAAATGGGTATCGCACATTTTACCATTTGGGGAATCGAACCCGAGCCTTCGGTGTGACGAGCAAATGCTTTAACCACTAGGCTACCCCACAGACCCCACATTGCAATGAGAAATCACAATTGTTATTATATTGTTATAAGTGCTGGCACACCAATGACAGTAATCAGGTGAGAATCTCGGACCTTAACCCACACTGACTAGTTCCGGGCAGATTGGTTTGGTTGGTTGGTTGTTTAACGCCGAACTCAGCAATATTCCAGCTATATGGCAGCGGTCTGTAAGAACTGTAAATAACGTAGTTCCTGGCAGAGGGTGGTGACACCACAAGACTACAGCACAATCTGGGCCTACATGCGGGTCTCAAATTCTGATTCTGAGGGTCTCAGATTCTGCCTGAGAAGTATGGCAACTTTTGTCTTTTTCAGAGTTTTTGAAGACAAGATCTGAAGTAGAAAGTGAGTGAGTTTGGTTTTACGTCGCTTTTAGCAGTATTCCAGCAATATCACAGCGGGGGGACACCAGAAATGGGCTTCACACACTGTAACCTTGGGGAATAGAACTCAGGTCTTTGGGGTGACGAGAAAATGCTTTAACCACTAGGCTACCCCACCACCCGTTACATACGAAACATGCACTCTGGTAATATAAGTTACTGAGGAAGGGTGTAAGGGGGCCCTTACTGATGGGGGCCCTCCTTCGGCCACGTTCAGCTGTGTGCTGCTCATCGAGTTACTGCTGTTACAGAAACCATTCCCGGGACCTGTAACACATCGAAAAACAACATTCCAGACTGACAAGAGAACCAGCAACAGTCATACAATTTGGTGACCAGTATTAATGTTACAAACCAGTTATTGTGATCAGGAGTGTGGTAACGTTGCTTATCCCCTACCCAAATCAGCAGCCACTGTTTCCACCATGACAGTCTTATGGTATAAAAGACAGATTGCCTCTTTGTTAGCTAGCCCATTGGCTGTACAGAATTAACATCAACTTATGTCTAATACAGAGTACAGACTTTCCAAGATTTTCGGTTTGATTTTCCAGCTTCTTCTCTCGGACCACAAAGGACGGATAATGATAAGTGAATATATCATATGGGAATACGTTAACCACAGTTGCTATGCAACAATACAGTTGGTTTGATTGCCTAACACATTTTTCAAATCAATTACTGAAAGAATCAATTAACAAAACAATTGTTCTTACCTCATAACCATAGTTTGAGCATAAATACAAATGGTGTTCAAGCATTTTTATGAATCACAAGAAACTCTTGAGCAGTAACAGAAAAACCTCTGAATACTTCAGGAAGGACACAAACTACACCGAGGGGGGAAAGGTGCAAGTTACCCAAATGTAGGAATCTATCAATGGTAAAGTGAGTGAGTGAGTTGGGTTTTACTCTGCTTAAAACAGTATTTCAGTCAATTCACAAAGCATCAGATCAACTTGGAAAGACCTTCACAATTTACCACCAAGAAGCATGGGTATGGTGCTAACAACTACAAATACAATGCAGGTACAATTGGAAAACCTACAGGATTCTGGTGCACCTAAGGGAAGCAACTCTGCACAGTAAATCTCACCATCTCAGACAACTATGCCGCCTGTGCTTGTCAACATGTTACTTAAGGTTACAACTCAGGGGGCCCAATCCACAAAGCAATGATACCTATACTATACAGTTATGACAGCTCGTAACATTACGAACAATTGTGGATTGGGCGAGTGAGTGAGTAAGTTTGGCAGTGACAGATTGGCTTGGTTGGTTTGTTGTTTAACGCCGCACTCAACAATATTCCAGCTATATGGCAGAGATCTGTAAACAACTGAGTCTGGACCAGACATTCCAGTGATCAGCATCATGAGCATCGATCTACGCAACGGGTATACAACGACATGTGTCAACCAAGACAGCGAGCCTGACCACCCGATCCTGTGAGTCACCTCTTATGACAAGCATTGGTTACTGAAGACCAATTCTAACCTGGATCTTCACAGTTTTTGTGGATTGGGGCCCAGGGCCTAGATTTTCGAAACTCTCTTAGCGTTAAGATAGTCGTAAGTTAATGTTAATGTAACGCACTTACGATCATCTTAGCGCTAAGAGAGCTTCGAAAATCTAGGCCCAGGATATTACCGAAACCTACCTGATATTCCGCTGGTACTACTTGACTGGTTTTGACTCTGCAGCAGTGATTGATTGAAGAAATTGTTGAGAGAAGATGCTAAATCAGCAAATTGTTCCGGTTTTAGCGACCAGTTTGCCGGGTCCTCCTGTTTCATAGTTTCCATCAGGCCTGCTTGTGCAAAGAAAAACGTCTTATATAATGATAATGGTCAGTGTTAGTAACCAAGCGTGATGCAAGCAGCAGAGTGATGGTTAGCTCAGACGTGAAGACAGCAGATGAAGGCGGGCCATTTTGGATGAGTGGCTAATGACCCATGATGAGGTGATGGCAACCAGCCACGATATACACACTGGATGGCATGCTGGGTGGATTAAGGGTGTACATCATCATAATTTGATAATTTCCTTTATATTTTAATGATTTACCTTTACACTTTGACATTAGGATGAGTGAGTGAGTGGAATCAGAACTTCACCAACTTCAGCAATACTTCAGCAACGAACAGGAAGAATAGGGACCGAACGTAAACAGTATTTGTGGGAAATTGAAACAGGTTCATAAGTGAGATGAACCTATATGGGAATCTTAAACATATCAGATATCACCAAAGCTTTGTTTCATCCTCATTAATATTCAGATTATTTAAGGATAGAAATATTTCAGTTGGCAGTCAGGAAGAGTCATTGGCAGATACTGGAAAACAACCCTCTATCAAACAACTTTGCAAGACATTCGAAGACTCCCTCCTCTCCTTCCCCTCAAATAGGCCATACAATACACTATACTACACTTACTCCTATTTGTATGTTAAAATGTATTCTACAACCTTTCTTTTCAGTTATTATGGATTTTGAATCTTAACAGAATCAAAGTCATTGTTTGCAAATAAACTCAAGAGTTACAACTATAATAGATTGCACAACCAACATTGCATCTTAAACATTCTTCAGTTTTCAACTAAATTTTGTTTAGATACACTTTAGATGGGAACTAGCGAGTCTAGTTTAAAACCTTTTCAAAACTAAACCTAACTTCAACTACTCTTGATAAGGCCTAATGATATAGGCCTTTGCGAAGACCTGAAAACCCAATACTCCATGCATTATGAACATGCCTTTGGTATGACTTCTGATGAAAATGGAGGTCAATTGTAAGAATGAACTAGCAACACTATTAGAGATGGTTATGGTGAATTTGAAAAGGAGTATTTTCAAAGTTTCAGTTCTATGACAGTGAATATTGCAGGTGATGTGAACACGCACACACATATTAGACAATTAGTAGTCAAGGAATAGGAGTAGTAGAAGGAGTATATCATTCCCAATGACTAGTCTGAAACATAGTTCCATTACACAGATACTCGACAACCGTTAACTCGGAGTTAAGTACAGCATGGAAAGGAACACAATGAATACCCACAGTTATCTGTTTAACTCTGCACTCACAATATTCCAGATACAACAGCCCATATATAATCAAGTTTGCACATACAAGCCACTGTTTGATATAACGCGAAGAGAGCGATTCTGGTTTTACGCCGCTTTTTGCAATATTCCAGCATTATCATGGCGGGGGACATCAGAAATGGGCTTCACACATTGTACCCATGTGGGGAATCGAACCTGGATCTACAGCGTGACTAGTGGACGCTTTAACCATTAGGCTACATCACCGTCCCGGTTGATATAATGACCATATCATTATTATATTAATTATTATTAACCGAAATATCTGCAATCCCATCACTGTAATGTTCTTGTCGTTAATCACAGATCCCAAAAATACCTTGAAACTGGGTCATGTCGATATTATTGAGGTCATTCCCCGCTCCAGCCAATCGCATGCTCTCTTTCAGGGAGTCAAGGTTCTGAAGCCACTCACTTGTAGAACAATTCAAACTTGGAATGCCTGAAAATAGATCAGTAAGTTTTATCACAACTGTAACCATGAATTATTATGTTATTAACTGAGAATAAGATACAGAAGCATAAAATACACCACAAGAATCTATCACACAAGAATTTGCTACACAAAAGTACAAGAATCTATCACACAAGAATTTGCTACACAAAAGTACAAGAATCTATCACACAAGAATTTGCTACACAAAAGTACAAGAATCTATCACACAAGAATTTGCTACACAAAAGTACAAGAATCTATCACACAAGAATTTGCTACACAAAAGTACAAGAATCCAAACCAAAATGTCGCACTCACAAATTATACGTTGTTATCCATAAATTTGTCATTATTGTACTTTCCCAACTTCTCAAATGCCACTCGAAGAAGTAATGCCTGATTGTTTAATATTCAGCTTTCTTCAATACCATGGCACCAGATTAATATGGGGGAAAATGACACTACGGTAAAACATTACTCAAAAAACCAATAAGTTAGTCCAGGAAACAATCACACTTTTCCTGGATAAAATTACCTGACGATGTCAAAATAATCAATATCATCTCACCTGTCCCACTCTGGCTCTGAGAAATGTTTCCATTGAGGAGGGCATTCAGATTACCTGAAGCAAGAGTGGAGAGTTCAACACAAACTGCTCATTCAGACAATCGGTGGATAATCAGGGGACAAAATATGACGTTTTCCTAAAAACTGTTTCCATGTGAAACAAATATCCAAAATGATAATTATGGAGTTATGTATATTTATGGATTGCCAGACATTCCAAATTGCAATTATCCCATAAAAGAATTATCCGACTGACAGCCGAGCATTGTACATTAGTGTTGGGAATTGGTTAAAAATCGGATCAACACTATTGTACATTAGAGCCAGCAGGATTCAAATTTACATCTGCACATACAATACCCTCCAGCCATGTATTGATTCAGGGATTAAGTGTGTATCAGTTTTCAAAAGTAACATTCGCTACATTTTGCATCAATGTTCCAATAACTGTACCACGTCTAGCATTACCTTTCCATGTAGCACAAACCATTATGATTAATCTCACTGCATGGATCTATCAGACAAAACCTAATTTACCTGTGATGTCGATAAAACTATACCAGTCGCCAGAAACATTCTGAGTTTTATATCAAAATGTTGAAAGTGATGTATCACGCAGTAATGTATCAGTATTAATGCACTTTGTCAATGAATCAAGTATCGCAGAATGTTTCTACAACAGAAACTTGAGTGAGTGAGTGAGTTTAGTTATACGCCGCTTTTAGCAATATTCCAGCAATATCACGGCGGGGACACCATAAATGGGCTTCACACATTGTACCCATGTGGGAAATCGAACCCGGGTCTTCGGCGTGACGAGCGAACGCTTTAACCACAAGGCTACCCCACCATCCACATAAACTTGAGTATAATAATGAAAACAACATTTATTCAAGTCAAAGATTTCAAATTATTTGCTTCAGGAAATGTGGACCGAACACTTGTAAACAAGGTTACCTGTAGAGTTTTCAAACACAGACTTGTAGAGATTAACAAGATTGGATGATGCGTTCATGTCATCTGGATTTCCGTTACTTTCAGAGAAATTGCAGTTACTCTGAAAAAAGAACATCATATAATCAAAATGATATTCACCTGTATCAGATCAATAAGGTAAAACAGACTTCAAAGACACAATGGCTGCATCCACCCATCCAAGTGCCCTTGCAGTTTTGGGTTTTGTTGTTGTTTAATGCTGCACCCAGCAATATTCCAGCTATATGGTGGTACTCTGTAAATAATCAAGTCTGTACCAGACAATCCAGTGATCAACTGCATGAGCATTGATCTGCACAATTGGGATACAATCAGATGTATCAACCAAGTTAGCGAGCCTGACCACCCAGTCCTGTTAGTTACCAAATGAACATGAATATATGCTAAGAATCTGGCAGACAAATGTTTGTTTGGTTGCTAAATTCCACACTTAGCAGTTCTCCACCTATATGACTTCAGTCAATAAATAATCGAGTCTGAACCAGAAAATCCAGTGATTGGCATTATCAGCATTAAGCTACGCAATTATAAAACGATGACATGTGTCAACAAAGTCAGTGAGTCTGACCACCCGATCCCGTTAGTCCCGAACCCAGATCTTCACAGGCCTCCCATTTCAGTGAAACAAGTCAAATACATTATATACATCAACAAAGTAACAGTGAGTGAGTGAGTGGATTAGGTTTTACACCCCTTTTAGCAATATTCCAGCAATATCACTGCTGGGGACATCAGAAATGGGCTTCACACATAGTACCCATGAGGGGAATCGAACCCGGGTCTTCAGCGTGACGAGTGAATGCTTTAACCACTAGGCCACCCAACCGCCCCACAAAGTAACAGAAACAATTGCGTAGTTATGAAACAAAATGAAAAATATTGGTGAAAGATCAAGGCAATGGGTAACAATGAGGAATTTCTTTTCCATAACGAACAAAACTATAAGATTTTACAACTTGACATCCGACCCTGCACCAAGTTACTTCTGCTTCTGTCTCAGCTTCACATGTTCGAAGTAATTAAGAGCTGAGCCACATTGGCACTGTCACCCAGACATGATGAAGTGCAGTTAGTGTCTTTATGGCCCTTATCTGATCTTCGTGTAGACAAAACAAACCAGACCTTTCTGGATGTTGCCATTTAACACGCTTGTCATTTACCATGTTTGCTTGTCATGTCAGTGACAGTCAATGACATGAAGCTTCTTCCTCTCGTATATGAGAACAGAATATCTATTTTGGAACGTTTGTTTGTTGATAATGCAATGCTCATTCCAGTTAGTGAGTGAGTTAGTTTGGTTTAAACCATTTTGGCAATATTCCAGCTTTATCACGGTAAAACATTGTAAATGTGTAGGGAATCGAACCAGGTCTTCAACATGACGGGTGATCACTTAAACCACTGAGCTACCCTGCCCTCTACAGGGACTTACCTCGAGTGCTGTATTTGAGGGTCCCTGGGACTCAAAGTCTTAATTTTCAAGGGTCCTGGACTACAAAATGGGGGTCCCAGACACATAAATATTATTACTAGTAATGTTATTGTATTGTGTATCATGATCATCACATTGTTACAGTAATTAAATTGCAAATGATACCATAACCAAGCTAGTTGCAAACTCAGTGATAACCTATTGTTACTTGATTGGAATTTATACAAAAAGTATTTGGACTTTTTCTGCGTCCCTGTAGCTGCACTAATAAATTTATTAGTCCATTGTCAAAAAATTTTATGTGATAGGACCTGTAAATCCCCTATCAACCACTGGGCTACCCTGCCCTCTATCAACCACTGGGCTACCCTGTCCTCTATCAAACACTGGGCGACCCTGCCCTCTATCAACCACTGGGCGACCCTGTCCTCTATCAACCACTGGGCGACCCTGTCCTCTATCAACCACTGGGCTACCCTGCCCTCTATCAACCACTGGGCGACCCTGTCCTCTATCAACCACTGGGCGACCCTCTCCTCTATCAACCACTGGGTGACCCTGTCCTCTATCAACCACTTGGCTACCCTGTCCTCCCTGCCCTCTATCAACCACTGTGCGACCCTGTCCTCCATCAACCACTGGGCGATCCTGTCCTCTATCAACCACCGGGCGACCCTGTCCTCTATCAACCACTGGGCGACCCTGTCCTCTATAAACCACTGGGCTACCCTGTCCTCTATCAACCACTGGGCTACCCTGCCCTCTATAAACCACTGGGCTACCCTGCCCTCCATAAACCACTGGGCGACCCTGCCCTCCATAAACCACTGGGCTACCCTGCCCTCTATAAACCACTGGGCTACCCTGCCCTACCCTGCCCTCTATCAGCCACTGGGCTACCCTGCCCTCCATAAACCACTGGGCTACCCTGCCCCCTATCAACCACTGGGCCACCCTGCCCCTATCAACCACTGGGCTACCCTGCCCTCTATAAACCACTGGGCTACCCTGCCCTCTATCAACCACTGGGCCACCCTGCCCTCTATCAACCACTGGGCCACCCTGTCCTCTATCAACCACTGGGCTACCCTGTCCTCTATCAACCACTGGGCAACCACTGGGCTACCCTGCCCTCCATCAACCACTGGGCTACCCTGCCCTCTATCAACCACTGGGCTACCCTGCCCTCTATAAACCACTGGGCTACCCTGCCCTCCATAAACCACTGGGCCACCCTGCCCTCTATCAACCACTGGGCCACCCTGCCCTCCATAAACCACTGGGCTACCCTGCCCTCTATCAACCACTGGGCTACCCTGCCCTCTATAAACCACTGGGCTACCCTGCCCTCCATAAACCACTGGGCTACCCTGCCCTCCATAAACCACTGGGCTACCCTGCCCTCTATAAACCACTGGGCGACCCTGCCCTCTATCAACCACTGGGCTACCCTGCCCTCTATAAACAGTTTGGCTACCCTGCCCTCTATAAACCACTGGGCTACCCTGCCCTCTATAAACCACTTGGAATACAATATTATATCCCTTACATAGACATGCATGCACATGTGTGCGTGCATCCATGCTTGTAAGAATCTAGAATAACACCAGCTTTACAGTGTGAGATACCATGCTGCATGTTAACATACCCCCACACATACACTGACTTCAGAGCAGACCATTCTGTGCGTAATTCCCTTAATGCACGCAAGGCAGGGATACAATTACTACGTTATGATGTCCTTCAGTATGATGCAGCAAGGAATCCAACACCCAACCTTCTGTCCTCCAGGCAAACACATTATCCACTAGACCATGGAGGCGTCCTAAAGTGATGAAGTTTGACTAGATTGAGTGTTCTAACCTAACAACAGGGATCAAAGTACTGACCCTTTCTTCCCTATATTGCTGTACTCCAGACAACATTCAGCATGAACCTACCACAGGCCTACCAAAGAAAACTTTCCCATTGTGCAGAAAAATGCAGAAAAGCCCACATTAATCGTGGAAATAGCAACATAAACACATTACCTCGCTACTGAAACAGTAAAAACGGCATCGTTGATGCATCGTTACAGCCCTAGATGTGATACAGGCCTACCAAAGAAATCTTTCCCACTGTGCAGAAAAACGCAGAAAAGCCCACATTAATCGTGGAAATAGCAACATAAACATAATACCTCGCTACTGAAACAGTTAAAATGGCAACTTTAAATCGCTTACACTGCATCATAAAACGAGGAGCCCGCAACTTCGATTTTGCGCATGCGCACATGGAAGAAGAAGTCTCGACCGCATGTTGACATTTTCCAGTTGGACAAAAGTTACATTCCTTTTTAAGTATTTCTGTTGTGTTATTTGGCACTTATCATCATGATACTTGTGTGCACACTTGTTTAGTTTACTTTCCATTCGTATGAAACGATTGACAGCAATTATTTCGACATATTTAATACTTTTTCTACGCGAGGCAATTAATTAATGGAAGAAACGAAAAACTATCGATGCATTGATAGTATGTGTGACTATCGATAGTTTAATTGACTTTTGTTGATAAATGTGCAGCGCAAATTTTTTTTTGTATTTTTGGTATTGTTTGGGTGCAGACTTGCAGCTTCACTGAGTTTATGTTTAACTGTTTACTTGAACTGGGTTTCAAGTTTCTTGTCAGTTATTAAGAGACTGAAACTTGTTTCCATTTCATATAAACTATACATTCATTTGTGAAATGACTTCAAATGAAACAATTCAAAGAGAAAAATACTATTGCAATAGACTATCACTATCGCAATAGCTGTTTCCCCCTCAATAGTCACCCCTAACCATAGCTGTGTCATTTCTAAATGTTCATACTGGGTGATAAATGTCGTATCTGCACGACTATAATTGCTGCAACAACTTGCGACAAATAAGGTCCTTTGTATTTCACAGATAATAAAAAAATTTTTTTTACATATTTAATGCATACTTCGCAAGATGAATTTGATAAGAGAAGATCTTTTATCTGAACATGTATTCAGCAAACCTCTTGCTCCATAATAAAATCCAGATCAACCCACAAATTCAATTAAATATAGCCTGAACAGCTATTTCAATATATAAATACTTCCAACACAGTATATTCACAGGTCTAATTCAGCTGCATTAACACAAGACATGAGATATGCGTCTTACAAAAAACTCGATCCACCTGTGATTTCTGACCCAGAAAGTACCCTCTTTCAGCTATTTTCTACTGCGAGATCTTTATAAACCTCTTACATGACTGAGTGGGTCTCCGTTGGCATTCTGCCATTCTCTCACCGACCCACTGGCATTCAGCCAGTACTATGGTAAATATTATTTTTACAACTCTGAAATGGAGATTATATTGTTTGATTATTGTGAAAGCTCAAACGGAGTTCGAGAATAGAGCATGTCCAAGGATAGAGACGCTTGGCGTACTTTATTAAGTACCCTTGAATAAGTTTATGGTAGAACACATTCCAGCGAGTTCTAAACACACTTAACGTTGTGTATTGGCTATTATGCAGGGGCTAAAAAGAGCTCAAACCATTCATATGGATTGAGATATTATTAATACTGCAAATATGCCGAGACAAGTTAGTGAGTTGGGTTTAACACAGCTTATATGAAGTTGTCAACTTAGTGTGGCAGCAAAAACTAATTTTGTAGGTCTGGACTCCTACTCCTGAAGGTCTGGAGCCATAGTTTTGTAAGTGAAGGTAAAATAATGCATTAGGGATCTTCATAATCCAACAGTAGAGTAGACCAGAAATAGGCTTCACACACTCTATCCATGTGAGAACATAAACCTGGGCCTTCATTGTGTCGATACCTTAAGTAACCACTAGGCTAGCCAGCAGCAGTTGGATCACTAACGTTGTAGCAAGTTAATGACATGGTCAGCATGCCCTGCCATACACTAAGAAATCCGCACATGTGAAGGTCAAGGCCACTGTAAAGTTGTCTAGAGAAAACACATCCCATGATAGAGTAAGGCTATGGAACAGAAGGAGGATGATTGGAAAGTGGGTCAAGCCAGTTCTCAGGCAGTCATAATGTTTAAATAGAGAGAAGAACCAAAAATTATCAACCATTTGACATTTCAGAAAATATATTTTGTAACATTTCCAAACTATGACTTTAGCAGAGATTTGGAGGTTTTTAAAAAACGTTTCACTTGATTCTATTTTAGACACCAACGACCACTGAGAAAGGAACAGAAAAGAACACGAGGGATGTAAAATAGCACTAAAAACAATCACTTGGTAGTGGATAAGTATGCGTTCTCATTATTATTTTACTATACTCTTCACACAGCCTAAATCAAAAAGTAAAATAACAATAAAACAAAATTAGACACGGTAATACAAAACAATACCATCAGACAAACTAAACTAACACAATGTAACACTATAGCAACTAGCATTACAATGCCTTGCTTCTCTATGAAATAAAACCTGTTACTACACTTTTCTCCATCAAACAAGACCTGCTACAGAAAATATCCACCAGCTATTTATCTTGTGGAACGGTATACACTTTCTAACAGCATATAGGTAGGGGAATACGATCAATACAGCTTGCACTCTAGGACATTTCCTAATACATCGCTATCAATATTTCATGACTGTACCAAATCAACGACTGATGTATGTTTGAAGGTAGATTAAAAATCAATACTACATTCACACATCTTTGCTTCCGCTATTTCCGACTGGACAAGTATTTCATGACATGCCAGAGCAGACACATATTTCGAACTCCCTTCGTATACGGTTTTGAGAGCAACTGAGTGTGTGAGACTGTTGAAATCAACTATAGTTTTGATATCAAAAATCCTGTTTCAGAAGAGAAACTCAAGAATGGGAACTTATTTTCCAAGCTACTGGAGCCAACCATAGGAAATGTATAAAGTATTATTTTCACAATAAAAAAAATCTGCTATTTTGCAAAAATCAATAGCCAGAAATGTCTAATCCTTGAAAATATTTGACAATGTTGGTCTTGATAGTCAGTAATATTCAAGTTTAATGTTGCATTCAAGATTATCATAGTTATACAACAATGTAGACATACATGTCTATATGTGTGTGTCCGGAATAGTCCAGAATAGAGCTGTCTTTATGGTATTCCCTAACTGCCAAGCATCAGACTGAGTAACAACATGTACCATCTGTTAGGAGCGAATGACAGACCCTTCCTCTTATCAATAAGTGAGTCAGTTGGGTTTTACGCCGCTTTTAGCAATATTCCAGCAACATCACACATTGGACACCAGAAATGGGCTTCACACGTTGTACCCATGTGAGGTATCAAACCATGGCCTTCGCCCACTTTAACCACTAGGCTACACCAGTCTGATACTGCAGTCTGCACTGGTTAAATACAACAGCCAAAACTTACCATTCTGGTCACAAACACACATAGTAAGCCAGGACATATGTTCCTCCACATCTTAACGTTAGTACCTTCATCAAACACTGATGCAAGGGCATGCAAACAGAAGCGATCATAGCTCTACAACGGTCGTAAGTCTATTTTATAGTGTAAGAGGCAACGAACAGGATCAGTTCAAGGTCTATTTTATAGTGTAAGAGGCAACTAACAGCATCAGGTCGTAAGTCTATTTTATAGTGTAAGAGGTAACTAACAGGATCACGTGGTACGACTTGCAGACTTGGTTGACACATTTCATTGTATTACAATTGTGTAGATCGATGATAATGCTGTTGATCACTGGATTGTCTGGTCCAGACTCGATTATTTACAGAGCACCGTCATATTCCTGAAATATTGCTGAGTGTGGTGTTAAACAACAAACAACCAAACTATTTTAAAGTAAAGTAAGCTAAGATCTCTTTTAAAACCCCTCAAGTTATAGAAAAAGATGGCAAAGTTCTCAAACAATGGACAGAAAGAGATGTCCCAATTTCATGGTGAAGTAGATATCGAATTACCTGTTATAATCAGAGACAGATTATTGCGATTTGAAACCTTTCACAAAAAGTATTTTCCCAAGTAGTGGAAACTAAACACACTGTGTTACGAGATTACCCTACTGGTTTTTATGAAGTGCTATCTAACAAATCCATCGGAAAGCACTAAACGGAATTTGCACGCCTTTGTAATTAAACCATTCAACCGGACTCCGGCTTACTGGACTGTTTCAGTTACAGGTGAGTGAGTGAACACGATTCTGTTAACAATATGTCTCCCAATACGACGTTCACACTTAAGCCCCATGAAACTGTAGACCCATTACTCAGTGGTCCATCTAACACTTGGAGCTAGAGCAATAAAAAAATATCTGTTAACCTTAAATGGTTACGGGTTCCTAAACCAATGAAAATTTCGTTACCAGCAATAATGACAGTTCGTTGGGACAGATTGCTGGGAGTATTAGGTCCTGATTTAAACGCTGTCTATACTTTTTGCTCTGTTTCCAATCTCAATCCTACGTGAAATACTGAAAACATTGTCTCGATTTTCCCTGCCCCTGAGGAAATTTTTGCCCTAATGTGATAAATACTGCTACCCTTGCACATTCGCAAAATCCAGGTCAGCTTGATTTTTCTTTATCTTTATTTATAAGAAAAAAATGTTCCCGAAGCAAAGAGACTTGATCTATATCATTAATAAATTAAAAGATAAGAAGCATTGTCACTAAGGTGACATAATCCCCCGCTGCAAATTATCAAATCAAACTTATAAAGTAATGAAAGTTTAAGATAAAGTTAAATGTCATCAAAAGCATTATCTTGCTCTTTAGTTGTTCAAACACACACATATTTTCAAGACTGACTTTGACCTTGACATGAATGTCATAGTGTATGAAATATGCAAAACTAGTACTAAAGAAATTGCTTATTGAAAAACATTCAAGGGAGGTCTTGAAAGTCTATGAAGAAAATCCAGTGAACCCTTCTTAAAATATCTTGCTGACAATTCAGGTTAACATTCTGAAATCTTCATAGTGTCGTTGTGACCCTGAAAATTATGTGAAAGTCACCAAAATCGACTGGGCCCTGGGCCTTCCCTAGATAAAGCTTGGGGTTGAATATGAAGAAAATCCAGGAAACGGTTCTTGAGATAGCTTAACATGCAGGTAAAACGCGAAAGTCCCCTTGTGACCTTGAAATGAAGGTCAAGGTCACCAAACCTGACTTGGACCTTTCTTATAGTGTGATGAACCTAGGTACTAAATATGAAAAGAATCTAGTGAACGGTTCTTAAGATATTCCAATTCGTCCGTATGTACGGACGGACGGACAGAGCCTAATACTATATGGATAATGGATAATACCCAAGTTATCTAAATTTTCCTGAGTGATGTAACGGAGTTCCACTGGCAGTATGACCAAACAACTTGTGAATGAGTAAGTGAGTGTTTAGTTTTACACCGCCTTTAGCAATATTCCACCAATATCACGGCAGGGGACACCAGATATGGGCTTCACACACTATACCCATGTTGGGCATTGAACCAGGATCTTCAGCATGAAGACTGACTGACTGAGTTTAGTTTCACGCCGCTTTTAGCAATATTCCAGCAATATCACGGCGGGGGACACCAGAAATGGGCTTAACACATTGTGCCCATGTGGGGAATCGAACCCGGGTCTTCGGCGTGACGAGCCAACGCTTGAACCACTAGGCTACCCCACCGCCCTCAGCATGAAGAGCGAACGCTTTAACCACTTGGCTACCCCACTGCCCCACTTGTGAATCTTGACTAAAAGCATCACTGTCAGTAGATATAACGTTTTCAGGCTATTAATAGTTGAACTAATTAGACCAAACAGAATTTTACTACACAGAGGATTCGGACTGATGACAAAAATCACAGACAGAGCTTGGTTACCTCATATATCTGATGTGTCTGTATCTCTCTTGTTTAATGCTGCACTCAGCAATATTCGAGATAGTCAGCCTTCAAATAATCAAATCAGGACCAGACAGTCAACCCCTAATAATGAAGTCTGGACCAGACAGAACAATGATTGATAGCAATATCTCACAACCAAGTTATTGAGCCTGAACATCCAATCAAATTACTCACACTGAAAACCAAGCAGCACAAGGGACTTCATTTGCTATAGGGAATATAACTCTGAAACGTGTATTCAGTTTGTAAACACAAGAAAAAACTTACTTGATCTTGAGGTGAAGGAGGTGACACTTGTACATTGACGGCTGTCAGCGTCTGTGATGGCATCTTCGGTACACCAAGCCCTGGCTCCGGACTGTACGGTGATGCCTGCAGTACCAGACAGAAGTCTTGTAACCATACTGACATACAGGTATACACAACGGTCGTATTATATACCCATGCACTAGTCACTCCACAACATATCATCAGACTGTAATCCATAAAAAATTTAAAAGTAGGAATTATATTTTATTATTTTTTCACCTACTAAACTATTCAAAATATTGGTGTTCACAAGCGACAGCGACAACGTGTGTACTCATATGGGGAATCAAACAGGTCTATAGCCCCATGTGATTCATACAAAGTACACCTGATCATTAGGACTATGTACGTGGTGAATTTTATAAAACAGAGAAAAATATATTTTATGCATTTGTGGTCATTGGAGAAGATAAAACCTATCAATGAAAAAATATTATAATTAATCCATTAAGGACTTACGGTAACTGCAAATACATTCTGTCCAGTTCTATCTGTAGTCAGGTTTAAAATATTATTTCAATAAATGAAGATTGGGCCAATCAACACTATTTACTTAGTACTCCTAGGCCAAATGTAGAGATAACATCATTATCAGGTAATATGATACACCAGGCCTTATCACCCATACTGCATATCCTGATCATGTTGAACATCAGTGCTTGTCACCGTCCATTAAACCATGTGGTTAACTGACTGACTGACTGAGTTTGGTTTTACGCCGCTTTTAGCAATATTCCAGCAACATCACGGCGGGGGACACCAGAAATGGGCTTCACACATTGTGCCCATGTGGGGATTCGAACCCGGGTCTTCGGCGTGACGAGCCAACGCTTTAACCATTAACCATGTGGTTAATACTCATGAAGTTGGTCTATGAACATGTGGACACTGTTTCAACAGAGGTTTTTTTTGTTTTGTTTTGTTTTGTTTTGTTTTGTTTTTTTGTTTTGTTTTGTTTAAATCCTTGTTTGTTTTCAGCAACCTGATACATTCTGTGTCTAGTTCCAGGTGGGAGGGTGGGAGGGTGGGAGTTGTCATACCAATTACTGGATAACGCTTTTACTGCTGCTGAGAGATCCTAAAAGATAGGGACTTTTCTAACATTTGGCCTAGGACTATTACCTGGTTTCAACAAGACAGATGTCTTAAATACAGAAACACACTTAAGTTTTAATTCTTACCATAAGGTGCATTCTCAGTTGTAATCACTGCATCACAGCAAAAATATATACTTGCAGGGTTTTACACTACACACATATGTGGCGTCCAGTACGTACAAAAGTAGAGAAAGGACACAGAAACAAATGCAGCGTGTTCTCTACACTGTTACTTCACAGGACCCACGTTTGCCTGCAAGGACCCTAAAACTAATAATTACAGGTCCACTGGACCCTATGTTTGTGAGACGAAGTAAAACCCTATACTTGAAAGAGCAACCCCCCCAAACATCTTACTCCACATTCATGCGCACTGAGACAAAGGTACAGCACTCCACAAATTGACAGATCGTATCCCTTTTATTTTTACATCCTAAAGGAACAAGTGAATGGGAAATGGAAATATTCCTAAAAGAATATTACTCCTAAAAGACTCCAGCCACCTTGAATATTGAACAGTCAGACCCTTTTTCACGTGTGTACGGTACTCACCCGATCGTTCAGTCTCGGCCTCTTCTTGTGTCTGGCAGGGAGCGGGTCTTCTGGGGGGTTGCTGTCTATTGCCCAGTATGATCCCTGAAAGTAAGAATGAATATCATCATAGGCAGTGGTTGACAGCATGAACACACATCCCTTCGATCTGGGCACAATGACCTTCACCTTCAGGTACTGTAACAAGGTGATCTTCCGAAGTCAAATCTCACAGGAAGTTCAGGAGTACTGAAAGCTAGCGTGTCTTAAAAAACCCACAGAGGATCATAGCAAGCAGTTGACAACAGGAGCAACCATCCACTCCAATATAGGGGGCCGGTGGGGTAGTCCAGTGGTTAAAGCGTTGGCTCGTCACGCCGAAGACCCGGGTTCGAATCCCCACATGGGTACAATGAGTGAAGCCCATTTCTGGTGTCCCCCGCCGTGATATTGCTGGAATATTGCTAAAAGTGGCGTAAAACCAAACTCAGTCAGTCAGTCCAATATAGGAGTACACAAAATCAGCCTGGTCACTGTAACAAAAGGATCATATATGAATACTTGCTGTGACAGGCATGGATTACTGGGGACCTCGAACCCCACAAGAAGAAGGCATGGGGTGGGGCCCTGATGACCTAGACTGCCCTGGAAATCCTACAGGGAGGCAGGCGTGGGTTACTGCGGACAAATAAGCCTACAGGAAGAAGGCATGGGGCCCTGGACCTTCAGTTCGTAATGTTGTGAGTTGTCGTAACTATGCAGTTTATCATAAGCTTACGAATGATGTAGTGCTATGAACACTTTGTGGATCGGCCCTTTGGTGACCTACACTGCCCTGGTCATCTACAGGAAGACATGCGTGGATTACTGGGGACCTAGGACCCACAAGAAGAAGGCATGGGGACCTGATGACCTGCACTGCCCTGGTCATCTACAGGAAGACATGCGTGGATTACTGGGGACCTAGGACCCCACAAGAAGAAGGCATGGGGCCCTAATGACCTACACTGCCCTGTTCATCTACAGGAAGACAGGCATGGATTACTGGGGACCTAGGACTCTTCAAGAAGAAGGCATGGGGCCCTGATGACCTACACTGCCCTGGAAATCCTACAGGAAGACAAGCATGGATTACTTGGGACCTAGGACTCTTCAAGAAGAAGGCATGGGGCCCTGATGACCTACACTGCCCTGGTCATCTACAGGAAGACAAGCATGGATTACCGGGGACCTAGGACTCTTCAAGAAGAAGGCATGGGCACCTGATGACCTACATTGCCCTGGGGCTCCTTTCACGAAGCAACCTTTACGAAGGTTAACCTTAACTCCCATTCTTTAACATTGCACTAAGGTTACCTTAGTGACTCACGCTTTAGTGCAATGTTAAAGAATGGGAGTTAAGGTTAACCTTAATAAAGGTTGCTTCGTGAAAGGAGCCCCTGGACATCTACACGAAGACAGGCATGTGTTTGGGACTCTCTGCTCTAAGAAACCATATATTGATTGAAGAGTAATATCATCCTGCAACATCTAAGACGAGAATAACTAGAGAAGAAAACACTGAGTGTCTTACACAACCTTGGCATCTTTATCTCAAGATACATCAGATAATGTGGCCATAAAGCTAATCTTGTACCAGTCATACCTGCAGCCTGGAGCTACATACTACAAAGACTGCTGGCTTCATGCGGTCACCCTTCACTGCTAATTCAGCAGTACTTCAGGAGACTCAGACTTGAAACACTAGAATCTTGCTGTCAACAAGTCCTACAATAGACAGTGTATGAAATAAGCCAAAACCCCAGTCAGACAGGGCTGGTAACTTTAAAATGTTACCAGTGCAAAATGGATTTAACCAGACCAGACACCGAGATATGACTCAGATGTATATATAACATCTAAATTTTGACCAGACCATCGGGCTGGCTCGCTGTAAATCTAGACCATCCGTCTGAAATCTAACCCGTCTTGGGGGGTTGGACGGGCCTTATTTCATACACCGCAATAGACATGTGACACAAGAATTTTGTCAACAACTGATCCTCTCTCAGACTTGCAACACATGAATCTTGCTAACAACTTATCCTATCTCAGACTTGTGACACAACAATTTTGTCAACAACTGATCCTCTCTCAGACTTGTGACACCTGAATCTTGTTAACAACTGGTCCTATATCAACATTGCAACACAACAATCTTGCTAACAACTTATCCTATCTCAGACTTGTGACACATGAATCTTGCTAACAACTGGTCCTATATCAACATTGCAACACAACAATCTTGCTAACAACTTATCCTATCTCAGACTTGTGACACATGAATCTTGTTAACAACTGGTCCTATAACAACATTGCAACACAACAATCTTGCTAGCAACTTATCCTATCTCAGACTTGTGACACCAGAATCTTGCTAACAACTGGCCCTATATCAACATTGCAACACAACAATCTTGCTAGCAACTTATCCTATCTCAGACTTGTGACACCAGAATCTTGCTAACAACTGGTCCTATATCAACATTGCAACACAACAATTTGCAAACTTATCCTATCAATCTTGCTAGCTTGCTAACTTCCTATCCATTGCAACACAACAATCTTGCTAGCAACTTATCCTATCTCAGACCTGTGACACCAGAATCTTGCTAACAACTTATCCAATCTGAGATTTGTGATGCCAGAATCTTGTTAACAACTGGTCCTATATCAACACTGAAACACAACAATCTTGCTGACAACTTATCTGATCTCAGATTTGTGATGCCAGAATCTTGTTAACAACTGGTCCTATATCAACACTGCAATACAAGAATCTTGCTAGCAACTTATCCTATCTCAGATTTGTGACACCAAACTCTTGCCACTGAAACCTGCATTACCTGGTCATATCTTAGCACCATACAAATGGTAATTGGAAGCTACACACAGACTACATACAATGATCATAACGTGAAGTTGATCGAGCTTCCCCTACAGGAAACACTGCATCATGACAAAAGTTCACAAGAAAATAAGCTGTTTTACCACTGTCTGGCGATGTGAAAACACAACCAGGACATTTTTACCAACCTGGGAGGTCCATGTGCTGGAAACATCAACATCCAAACTCTTCCAGTAAAAAGTGCAGTAAATGCACTGTATCACGCCCTCATCAGTGTGTTATAACTAAAGAGATACGCTTACAATCACGTATCCCACGGCGCCGGCAACTGTCACAGCTCTCTCAAAGACAGTCTGTGACAGGTTTCATCATTGATCCACTTCCAGCCATATGATAAAAAGCAGTTGCACTTACGTATTTGCTCACTCTGAATGAACTGTGAAACAAAACTTCAGCCAGCAAGTTCAGTGCCAAGTATATGATTGTTTTTTGTTGCTTAATGCTGCTTTCTGCAATATTCCAACAATTTACAATGTGAATAATCAACTGAGGACTTGACAATCTGATATAATGAGCAAATATGTTAGTTGGGGAGCTAGGTGCTTACTCCACTAGCAGAAATATTCAATATCACAGCAGACAACTTGAGTGAGAGCACTTTTATACCACTTTTAGCAATATTCCAGCAATATCACAGCAGAGGACACCAGAAATGGGCGTCACACATTGTACCCATGTGGGGAATCAAACCCGTGTCTTCAGAGTGACGAACAGGTGCTTTAACCACAGGTTACCCCATGAGATCATGGATATGGTTCGCTATGTGTTCAGGAGAACTGTGCTAGTAAACGTAGAATATTCGCATGCGCATGAAAACAAAAACAGTCATGCTTTCGACCTCTCCTTAAATTAGTGTTAAAAATTGACGGACGAGGGGTCGTATATTCGACGGCCTATCTTAATATTTGAATTATAACTCGCAAGTTGATAGGCTGCTTTCTGCAACGCCTATCGAAAGTATTCACAATAGGACTATATTGTTGTGAACAGTGTACAAACTGTATACTTTTGTGCAAAACAAAAATAGAATTAAAGTGAAAATAGATTAGTGACAGTGCTGAGAGCTTATTTTATGGAACACTGCGTAACACTACGCTTTCAGCAATATTCTAGCAACTTACCAACTGGGAGCACCACAAATTGGCTTCACAGATTATATGTGAGAAAATGAACCTCTGCATCTCCCTTGACAAGCTAACACCTTAACCCCTGGGCCATACCGCCTTCAGTTATTTTAGTGGGAAACTGGGACACACAATATAAAAAGAGCAAAGAATTAAGCTGATGTGTTCTTAAATGTCGATCAGTCTTTAATGCAATACTTCTGATTAAACTGCCTGACCCTACTTTTCACTTCAACTTACTTTCAGCTTTCATTCATCACTTCACTATCAAAGTTCCACTTCAATAAATATTTTGCTGCTTAATTTGCTTCTGCACTGATCAACTTTAGTTTTGATTCATTTTTAAATTATACATTATTTTAATTATCCCAGATCAAACCATGACACTCCGTAGAATCACGGATGAAAGGGCAAAGCTCCTGTGATGAAAAGGTGATAGTCTTGGTTGTGCTGTAACTTAATGAGATGAATTTGGAAGCTTCCATTACAACCTAACACTCCAGCCTACAGCCACTGAAACCTTATTCCATATTCAGCAACAACTGCAGTAAGGCATTGAAAGCTTGGACATCAACACTGTAAGCTACTTTTAAAGTCACAAATTTTGAAAAAATTGTATAACTATCTGGTTTCCCCCTACTATGATATGGCTCTACAGCCAGGCTTTACTGCTTCCAAATTTGGGGCCAAACTGTACTCACTCTATGTAAAATCTGAAAGATCCTAACAGTAGCCCACTTACCATGACCCAATCAACAGCCCACCTACCATGACTGTATGAGACCCCCATCTACTGTTTACCTACCGTGACGCTATGAGACTCAATCCACTGTCTACCTACCATGACTGTATGAGACCCCATCCACAGCCCACCTACCATGACTGTATGATACCCAATCCACTGTCTACCTACCATGACTGTATGAGACCCCATCCACTGTCTACCTACCATGACTGTATGAGATCCCATCCACTGTCTACCTACCATGACTGTATGAGACCCAATCCACTGTCTACCTACCATGACTGTATGAGACCCAATCCACAGCCCACCTATCATGACTGTATGAGACCCCATCCACTGTCTACCTACCATGTCTGTGTGAGACCCCATCCACAGCCCACCTACCATGACTGTATGAGACCCCATCCACTGTCTACATACAATGACTGTATGAGACCCCATCCACTGTCTACCTACCATGTCTGTATGAGACCCCATCCACAGCCCACCTACCATGACTGTATGAAACCCCATCCACTGTCTACCTACCATGACTGTATGATACCCCATCCACTGTCTACCTACCATGTCTGTATGAGACCCCAACCACAGCCCACCTACCATGACTGTATGAGACCCCATCCACTGTCTACCTACCATGACTATATGAAACCCAATCCACTGTCTACCTACCATGACTGTATGAGACCCCATCCACTGTCTACCTACCATGACTGTATGAGACCCCATCCACTGTCTACCTACCATGACTGTATGAGACCCCATCCACTGTCTACCTACCATGACTGTATGAGACCCCCATCTATTGTCTACCTACAATGACTGTATGAGACCCCATCCACTGTCTACCTACAATGACTGTATGAGACCCCATCTACTGTCTACCTACCATGACTGTATGAGACCCCATCCACTGTCTACCTACCATGACTGTATGAGACCCCATCCACTGTCTACCTACCATGACTGTATGAGACCCCATCCACTGTCTACCTACCATGACTGTATGAGACCCCATCCACTGTCTACCTACCATGACTGTATGAGACCCCATCTATTGTCTACCTACAATGACTGTATGAGACCCCATCCACTGTCTACCTACAATGACTGTATGAGACCCCATCCACTGTCTACCTACCATGTCTGTGTGAGACCCCATCCACAGCCCACCTACCATGACTGTATGAGACCCCATCCACTGTCTACATACAATGACTGTATGAGACCCCATCCACTGTCTACCTACCATGTCTGTATGAGACCCCATCCACAGCCCACCTACCATGACTGTATGAAACCCCATCCACTGTCTACCTACCATGACTGTATGATACCCCATCCACTGTCTACCTACCATGTCTGTATGAGACCCCAACCACAGCCCACCTACCATGACTGTATGAGACCCCATCCACTGTCTACCTACCATGACTATATGAAACCCAATCCACTGTCTACCTACCATGACTGTATGAGACCCCATCCACTGTCTACCTACCATGACTGTATGAGACCCCATCCACTGTCTACCTACCATGACTGTATGAGACCCCATCCACTGTCTACCTACCATGACTGTATGAGACCCCATCTATTGTCTACCTACAATGACTGTATGAGACCCCATCCACTGTCTACCTACAATGACTGTATGAGACCCCATCTACTGTCTACCTACCATGACTGTATGAGACCCCATCCACTGTCTACCTACCATGACTGTATGAGACCCCATCCACTGTCTACCTACCATGACTGTATGAGACCCCATCCACTGTCTACCTACCATGACTGTATGAGACCCCATCCACTGTCTACCTACCATGACTGTATGAGACCCCATCTATTGTCTACCTACAATGACTGTATGAGACCCCATCCACTGTCTACCTACAATGACTGTATGAGACCCCATCTACTGTCTACCTACCATGACTGTATGAGACCCCATCCACTGTCTACCTACCATGACTGTATGAGACCCCATCCACTGTCTACCTACCATGACTGTATGAGACCCCATCTATTGTCTACCTACAATGACTGTATGAGACCCCATCCACCATCTACCTACAATGACTGTATGAGACCCCATCTACTATCTACCTACCATGACTGTATGAGACCCCATCCACTGTCTACCTACCATGACTGTATGAAACCCAATCCACTGTCTACCTACCATGACTGTATGAGACCCCATCTACTGTCTACCTACCATGACTGTATGAGACCCCATCCACTGTCTACCTACCATGACTGTATGAGACCCCATCCACTGTCTACCTACCATGACTGTATGAGACCCCATCCACTGTCTACCTACCATGACTGTATGAGACCCCATCTATTGTCTACCTACAATGACTGTATGAGACCCCATCCACTGTCTACCTACAATGACTGTATGAGACCCCATCTATTGTCTACCTACAATGACTGTATGAGACCCCATCCACTGTCTACCTACAATGACTGTATGAGACCCCATCCACTGTCTACATACAATGACTGTATGAGACCCCCTCTACTGTCTACCTACCATGACACTATGAGACCCCATCCACTGTCTACCTACCATGACTGTATGAGACCCCATCCACTGTCTACCTACCATGACAGTATGAGACCCCATCCACTGTCTACCTACCATGACTGTATGAGACCCCATCCACTGTCTACCTACCATGACAGTATGAGACCCCAGCCACTGTCTACCTACCATGACTGTATGAGACCCCATCCAGTCTACCTACCATGACTGTATGAGACCCCATCCACTGTCTACCTACCATGACTGTATGAGACCCAATCCACTGTCTACCTACCATGACACTATGAGACCCCATCCACTGTCTACCTACCATGACTGTATGAGACCCCATCCACTGTCTACCTACCATGACTGTATGAGACCCCATCCACAGCCCACCTACCATGACACTATGAGACCCCATCCACTGTCTACCTACCATGACACTATGAGACCCCATCCACTGTCTACCTACCATGACTGTATGAGACCCCATCAACAGCCTAGCCCAATATTCTATGCTAAACCAGTGGCCTTCAAGCAAACATGCGCCATATTTCCAAATGCATGTAATAGAGTTATAACTAATGTGATCATTTGGTCGAGGTGACATGTATTTCACTGATAACACGATAAGAAAAAACAAAGAGGATGTTTGACATGACTGTATTGAAAGCAATGTTAAAATGCAATCTCTGAAAATAAGATCTCCAAAATAACCATTCCTTCCAATTTGCCTGCCAAGAGCACTTAGTTTCCAATCCCAGATAAATCCCTGGGTGTGTCATGTACTCTATCAGTTACAACGTGTAAGAGTATTTTACCAGCCTGTGTGCACGTGGCACTGCATGTAGCATTTCAAATGTGTGAGCTTTGCACGTGAACGTACCTTTCCCGGATCATCTTTCGACCTTGGAACTTTAAGGAAGCACTTGTTTAACGACAGATTGTGTCGTATGGAATTCTGCAACACAAAACAACATAATTACCAACGATTGTACAACAAAAAGCTCTGATATACAACTACAATATAAGTATGTGGAAAGGTAACAGCCTCGTCTACACAAACCTTTTCACACCCAATTATGACAGACTGTAAGGCACAAGAAAGGATACATAGTTTGTTATTTATGACATTAATGATAAAAAGAACTGTTGTTTCCTAACGTCTATCTCACAAGCACTCATAGATTAGAGATTAGGCCCTGAATATATATCATATAAAGATAGTAACAAATAAACCCATTTAAATTGAAAAGGAGCCCCAGTGAGTTGGGAGATTCAGCCTGACTCTGGGGATATCTAGACTTGCTTCATTTATTGAGTTAGCACTGGCTGGACAGTAGGGTGAGTGAGTGAGTGAGTTTAGTTTTACGCCACACTCAACAATATTCGAGCTATATGGCAGCAGTCTGTAACTAATCGAGTCTGGGTAAGATAATCCAGTGATCAATAGCATGTGCATCGATCGACAGTAGGGGAAATAATGTGGTTCACGGACCATGAGACAGACTACAGCACTCTTTCCTGCAACAGTTTGCATACGGTAATGTTGACAGGTAATTTCCTGTAAAAATAAACGGTTCATTGAAGACTCCTCTAAGAAATACCTTTGCAACCAGCCCTACCTGTAGGAATTGTTGTAAACGTACTAAATAAATATATTTGCAACCAACCCTACCATGTCGGAAATGTTGTAAACTTGTACTAAATAAAGTAATTGTATTGAATTTCAAAAATAAGATAGCGAACATTGTGATCCCGTAACATTTGTGTATAATGCAAACAAAATTCAACTTCAAATATAATTTTGAAAACATACTGACTGACTGACTGACTGAGTTTAGTTTTACGCCGCTTTTAGCAATATTCCAGCAATATCACGGCGGGGGACACCAGAAATGGGCTTAACATATTGTGCCCATGTGGGGACTCGAACCGGGGTCTTCGGTTGAAAACATACCATGAATGCATATTCTTTGCAGTCAGAAGCATCAGTGGCCAATGTTTGGGATATAGCATCAAAAACTTAAAATTCTTTCATTGAAAAATCAAACATGATAAAATCAACTGAGAATTGAGTTTCTTCTGACTTCGGTAATGCAATATGCAACAATGTAAGTGTCATGGGGTGCTAAAAGAAGTGCATGCTGGGATATCACCTTACAATCTCTGAAAGGGGTTGATAGAGTGAAAACAAGAGAAAACGAATGAACAGTAAAATACATACATAGAGTAAACATATTGAAGTGAATAAGAGAAGATGACATAAGCAGAATAGATACACAGGAAGAGACAGATGAAAGGCATTGTGAAACCTACGACACTGAGTAGATTAATACTATAGTTAGGCAGATTTGTGGGGGATTCTGGTTTCGTTTCCTTTTTCTTTTCCCTCACTCTTATCAACTCTGTCACTCAGCCTCTCCAAATTACTTGTTTTACAACAGGAATCGTGAACGACTTAATGGAAAATATCTGTATGTTTAAAATAAGCCACGATAACACCATCAAGTATCAAGTATGACCTGAACATGATCTGCACAAGCAGCGAAGGTTTTTAAGAATACATTAAAAGTAAGAAATATTATGCTTCAAAAGTTGCCATCCTGTGGCTCCTGCCTGCTCAGTGACTCACTCCAGCAAGAAATCTGGTTTGAGTGACAAGCATGGATGATTAAGGACTTGAGGCAAGATAAATTATGTTTGTCTGGTCAAAGAAACAAAATATCATGTTGCAGTAGACTCTGTTCACCTTACTAAAGAAACCATAACTACATGTACAAGGTCTAACCCACCGTGGAATCAAGCAGGTTTACTTGTTACTCTAACTACAGGTACAAGGCCTAACCCACCGTGGAATCAAGCAGGTTTACGTGTTTCAGCATCAAGGAAACTAGGAACCTGTCATGGTAGACCCTTTGTTAGACAATCACGGAACATGGCAACCTGCTTTGTTAGACCATTACAGAACAAGGCAACCTGCTATGTTAGACCATCATAGAACATGGCAACCTGCACTGTTAGACCATCAAGACCAAAGGTAACCATCTTTTTCCACCTTTGTGTCCACAGTGCAGCAACATCAAGACAGAGACACCACAACAGCGCTTTACAAACTGTCCATTTGAGAATCAAACGCATCAGTGTATGGGCAAGCACTTTAACCACAACACTACCCAGCGACACACTTCCAATGACCTGCGACCATATCAAACTACAACTACAAAGTTGTACCATCATCCAATCCAACAAGATGGAAAGTCAACTGGACACCGGTACAGTGTGATATACAAATTTGCTTGCCCAACAGAAAAAAACACTAGACTCATGAAAAAACACTGTACTCATGCGTCGGGCAATGGGTTATTTCAACCCCTGTGAGGTAATCACTGCATCTTTCTTACAGCATTGTTGTTGTACACAGATAAGCCCTTAAAATTCTAGGACACTCCAAACATGAGAAGTGCACATACTCGAAGCCCTGATTTGAATCCATGGCACACTTCCTGTCTGCAGGTTGTGTTATTATCAATGAAGAGATACCACCAATAGTGTCAACAACACTGATCAAATATGACATCAACAAGCACCTGCAATTCCATGTCACTTATACCATGTACACATAGCAGCACTTACATGAAAGGCTTTGCTCTGATCTTGAAAGAAATCTACCTGTTAAATACCAAGGTCTTGATCCACAAAGCATTCGTAGAGCTACGACTTTCGCAAGCCTATGGTAAACTGTAGAGTTACGACAGGTCGTAACGTTACGTACGATTTGTGAATCAGGACCCTGGTAGTGGTAATCTTGCTATAATCTTACAACAACTATAATACCATCATTTCTACTCCAGATCTTCACAGGTGTGGATAAAGAAGATAAACCATGCTAAACCATACATATACTGAGGTAAACCGAGGTCTTCAGCGTGACAAGTAAACAAGTTAAGCAGTAGGGTACCCCACCGCTTTGCATCATGAAGACAAAAATGTATCACATGGTACACAACGACACTGAACCAAGTCACCAAACATGACCACATGATCCATCCATCACTTTTTACAATTGTCACAGGTAACTGTAGAACAATTCTAACCAGAATCTCTATGATAACTGAATTTATGAGATAAAAAAAATAATAATTAAAATTCTAAAATTCACCATTGAGGACTGAAATTGTTTTCCCCTGCTTTGCCTGACAATGGACATTTCTTTAAAATCAGATGGTCAGATAACCTTTCGCACATTAGAAAAGCAAGTCAACGTCACATTCCATAAAGTTGTCTTGGTGCTATAACTATCATAACAGTAGGTTAAAATAGGGGAGTTACGACCAACTTAGCGCTAAAATTGCTTTACTGTGGGACATAGCTGTTTCTTACCTGTCCCCAAAATGATGACACGATCATATCAAAGTACACCTGTAAATGTACTGTCGTCTTCAAAAAACGTGTGTCAGTCATTGATTGTGAGTACTTATACCTGGCAGAATGACAGCGATGTCAAGCAGTCGAACTATCGAGTGTCACACGTGATACTAGATCAATGTCATAGACAATAACCAGTGTGCCGGGCAATATAACCAGGGAATATAACTGGGGAATATAACCTGGTAATATGTTACAACAGTTATCAGGTAATTAGTTATGACTGCAACTACTGTTTGTTTTATGGTTGTAATGGTTGTTGTCAGTTGGGCTAGGCTGTAATATCCTCTTAAAAACAACATGGTTCAGATTACCCGACTTACTCTATTAAAGGCACCAATTATACTGACTGTATTGACCATAATAATCAGATTCTATTACGATCTCTGCCTAATGATTGACATTATCATGACAATTACTGGATAGTATGACACCAGCATTCTTTCATCAATCTAGATAACTACAACTGTGCATTTTGATCATTTCTTTAGTATGACACCAGCATTCTTTCATCAATCTAGATAACTACAACTGTGCATTTTGATCATTTCTTTAGAGTATGACACCAGCATTCTTTCATCAATCTAGATAACTACAACTGTGCATTTTGATCATTTCTTTAGAGTATGACACCAGCATTCTTTCATCAATCTAGATAACTACAACTGTGCATTTTGATCATTTCTTTAGAGTATGACACCAGCATTCTTTCATCAATCTAGATAACTACAACTGTGCATTTTGATCATTTCTTTAGAGTATGACACCAGCATTCTTTCATCAATCTAGATAACTACAACTGTGCATTTTGATCATTTCTTTAGAGTACGACACCAGCATTCTTTCATCAATCTAGATAACTACAACTGTGCATTTTGATCATTTCTTTAGAGTATGACACCAGCATTCTTTCATCAATCTAGATAACTACAACTGTGTGTTTTGATCATTTCTTTAGAGTATGACACCAGCATTCTTTCATCAATCTAGATCACTACAACTGTGCATTTTGATCATTTCTTTAGAGTATGACACCAGCATTCTTTCATCAATCTAGATAACTACAACTGTGCATTTTGATCATTTCTTTAGAGTATGACACCAGCATTCTTTCATCAATCTAGATAACTACAACTGCGCATTTTGATCATTTCTTTAGATCCTGGACTGAATTATTGAACGTGTGGACTGATGGGTGAAATGATGCAGTTAACTACTCTGAAAGAAACGACCAACTCTAAGCATTGTCATAGATGCATTGTGGGTACAGTGAATAATATTTTGAGTCCCTCTGAATGGAGTGATTTTTTTTTCATCCATTCTCTACATTTGTGCGTACTAGATGCACATTTGCGCATTACGTAAAAATCAGGGCCCCGTTTCACAAAGCTATTGTAGCGCTACGACTGTCGTAAGTCTGTCTTATAGTATAGGAGTTAAGACAGTCGTAGCGCTACGATAGCTTGGTGAAACGAGGCCCAGGGATGTAACGTCACAATCCTTATCAAAGTCTTAATAAAAGGACAGATGCCA